AACTCAATAAATAGTTAAATATACTTTTTTCCGTAAATTAGCAAGTATTTGTTATTAATAAATTCATTTGATTAATTTGTATACTGATCTAAAATTTCAAAATTTCTGCTCACATCTCATTTTTAAAACAAAAAACAAACATGTAAAAATTGTCACCTGTAAATTGACATACTAACATTGCTGCCAATAATTCAGAATTGCCAACATAACAATTTGTTTCAGTGATTAACAGTTTCCCAGTCTTATATTAGTAATATAAATTGTAAACTAAACTAAAATAAACAACAGTGTTACTAACAAAACGACTTTATGCCCCGTAAGTTCTAAATCACAAAACTTAGCACAAAAATATGCACGCATATTATGTAGTTTTCTTATTCAGTTATTCAAGAATCTTCTTGGTATCTTAGAAAACAAATATAAATTTCCAAAGTCCTGAGAAAGTCTAAGAATCTTTCTAAATCAATGTAGGATTCAATGAGGGAGCTGCAACAATAATAATATAACGAATGCCAGGTATTTTTACTTCCCGAGCGTAAGCTAAGGAAGTATAGTAATCGAGTCCATCGGACGAATGGCCACTTTTATATTTTCTCGACGTTTCATGCCCCCTAGCACGTTAAGTGCCAAAGCAGACACCGGTGTCCGACCATTGGATTCTGAATGGGGCCAGAGCGGTCACCTTTACTTCATATTTTCTACTCTAGGGCCATGAATGACAAATAATTAGACATTATAGAGTGAATATCTCAGATTAATTTTATAGAGTGTGTCCGCTATGTGTGTCTGCTGTGGCGGCGGACACCATTATTGCAAGTAATAAACTCTAAATGTTCTAAGTAGCATAAGCACCAATTTCAAGCAAGAAATAACTGAAGTTGCATCAAATGTGATTAAAACCTAAAGGGGAATCAACGGGTCTGCCGTAAATAAATTGTCCGCTGTTGTGTCCGCCACGGCCTCTTCATATCCTAGACTGTGTCTGCTCTATTAAACCGCTGTGGTCCAGTCATATAAAAACTGCATAAGATATAATGAAGAGCCAAAGCAGACACCGGTGTCCGTTTTGGTTTTTTTGAAAAATATTTGTCAAAATTTTCGAATTTTAACAAGTAACCTATGCAACTATATATAAAATTTTATGTAGAATACGTATTTCTACCAATGGCCCTATGATTATACATGCATGATTTTGGCTTAACAGTTAACGTGCTAGAGTACGAAAAAAGTAGTTTCCCGTTTCCGTCTGTCTGTCTGTCTGTCTATCTGCTTGGCTATTAATGTCTATATACACTTTTATTAGTTTATTACACACGTAATCTCCGAAACTGCTGGACCGATTGTCGTCAATTGTTGTATGTATATTAGAAATATCATGTAAATGGCTAAATACTAACCAAAATGTTGCTGATCATCCCCACCAACAATTTGATGACGTCATTCCAAAGAATTCTATGTTTACTTGATTTAACTGTTATACGACAATATAGTCCTATAAGTGTGGTGTACGAATTCGCTTTGAGTATTTCTCTAACCGTCCAAATTTTTGCAAAAACATAATGCATGGCATAATAACAGCTTACCATTAAAGTAACGCATCCCGGTCGTGGTCTAGTGGTTACGAGTCAGGAATGCGGACCGGACCGGACGTCGCGCGTTCGATTCCATACTTGGCCTTACGTTTTTTTTTTCTCTCATTGTGTATTGTCTATGTTTATGGCTTCATAACAAATTTTTTATTGATGAAATTACCCCACTTTTCCGGAAAGCGAGAATACGCCCCTGTTTGCTTGAAAATGAAAAAACTTCTCGGGGGCCCCAAATGTCCTTTTTTTAAGAATGTGAAACCTTCTCGTTGGCCCCAAATGTCTTTTTTTAAGAATGTGAAACCTTCTCGTGGGTCCCAACTGTATTTTTTTAAAATGTAAAACCTTCTCAGGGGTCCCAAATAATGTGAAACCTTCTCGGGGGCCCCAAATGTCCTTTTTTAAAAATGTAAAACCTTCTCGGGGGCGCCAAAACTTTTTTTATGTGCAACCTTCTCGGGAGTCCCAACTGTCTTTTTTAAACATGTAAAACCTTCTCAGGGGCCCCAAATGTATTTTTTTAAGAATGTGAAATCTTCTCGGGGACCCCAACTGTTTTTTTTTTTAATTTAAAATCTTCTCGTGGGCGCCTAATATTTTTTTTTTCACAATGTAAAACCTTCCCGGGACCCCAAATGTCTTTTTTTTTAATGTGAAACCTTCTCGGGGGTCCCAACTGTCTTTTCAAAAATGCAAAACCTTCTCGGGGGCCCCAAATGCCTTTTTTCAAGAATGAGAAAAACTCTCGGGGGTCCCAACTGTGTTTTTTAAAAATGTAAAACCTTCTCGTAGGTTCTAAATAATGTGAAACCTTCTCGGGGGTCCCAAATGTCTTTTTTAAAAATGTAAAACCTTCTCGGGACCCCAAATGTCTTCTTTTTTAATATGAAACCTTCTGGGAGATCTCAACTGTCCTTTCAAAAATGCAAAAACTTCTCGGGGGCCTCAAATGTTTTTTTTTTAAGAATGTGAAACCTTCTCGGGGGCACCAAATATTTTTTTTAGAATGTGAAACCTCGGGTGCGCCAAACCTTTTTTTTATGTGCAACCTTCACGGGGGTCCCAACTGTCTTTTTTAAACATGTAAAACCATCTCAGGGTCCCCAAATGTCATTTTTTAAGAATGTGAAACCTTCTCGGGGGCCCCAACTGTCTTTTCAAAAATGCTAAACCTTCTCGGGGGCCCCAAATGTCTTTTTTTATGTGCAACCTTCTCGGGGGTCCCAACTGTCTTTTTTAAACATGTAAAACCTTCTCAGGGTCCCCAAATGTAATTTTTTTAAAATGTGAAACCTTCTCGGGGGCCCCAACTGTCTTTTTTAAAAATATAAAACCTTCCCGGGCACCCAAATGTCTTTTTTTTTTAATGTAAAACCTTCTCGGGGATCCAACTGTCCTTTCAAAAATGCAAAATCTTCTCGGAGGCCCCAAATGTCTTTTTTAAGAATGTGAAACCTTGTCGGGGGTCCCAACTGTGTTTTTTAAATATGTAAAAACTTCTCGGGGGATCCAAATAGTGTAACATTCTCGGGGGCTGCAAATATCCTTTTTTAAAGGATGTGAAACACTTGCGGGGGTCCCAACTGCCTTTTTTAAAAATGTAAAACCTTCTCGGGGGCGCCAAATATTTTTTTTTAGAATGTGACACCTTCTCGGGGGTCCCAACTGTGTTTTTTAAAAATGCAAAACCTTCTCGGGGGTCCAAATGTCCTTTTTCTAAGAATGTGAAACCTTCTCGGGCGCGCCAAATGTCTTTTTTTTTAATGTGAAGCCTTCTCGGGGATCTCAACTGACTTTTTCAAAAATGCAAAACCTTCTCGGGGGTCCCAACTGTCTTTTTTAAAAATGTAAAACCTTCTTGGGGGCGCCAAATATTTTTTTTTAGAATGTGAAACCTTCTCGGGGGTCCCAACTGTGTTTTTAAAAAAAGCAAAACCTTCTCGGTGGTCCCAAATGTTCTTTTTCTAAGAATGTGAAACCTTCTCGGGGGTCCCAACTGTCGTTTTTAAAAATGTAAAACCTTCTCGGGGCGCCAAATGTCTTTTTTTTAATGTGAAGCCTTCTCGGGGATCTCAACTGACTTTTTCAAAAATGCAAAACCTTCTCGGGGGTTCCAACTGTCTTTTTTAAAAATGTAAAACCTTCTCGGGGGCGCCAAATATTTTTTTTTTAGAATGTGAAACCTTCTCGGGGGTCCCCAATGTGTTTTTTAAAAATGTAAAACCTTTTCGGGGGTCCCAAATGTCTTGTTTTAATGTGAACCCTTCTCGGGGATCCCAACTGTCTTTCTTAAAAATGTAAAATCTTCTCGGGGGTCCAAACTGTCTTTTTTTAATGTAAAACCTACTCGGAAGCACCGAATGTCTTTTTTAAGAATGTGAAACCTTCGCGGGGGTCCCAACTGTCTTTTTTAAAGACGTCGAAACCTTCTCGGGGGGCCAAGTGTTTTTTTTTTAGAATATTAATTCTTCTCGGGGCCCCTAAACTGTGTTTTTTTAAGAAGATGAAACCGTCTTGTTTTCTATTACACCGTATACTTAGTACCTTTTATATTGTTTTTACTCCATAGAGGTTATCACGAAAAAGTAAAATTCCGCAAAATCTAATTTTAGAATTTTTCAGAGAAACAGTATTTGTTGAACTGTACTGAACTGTTCTGTCGAAATAACTTTCACCCAATTTTTTTTAATAACATTAAAAACCTTAAAAGTATACAATTTAATCTTTTCGTTGTTTTTGTTGGTTTAAAATTAAAGACTTAAAATATTAAAGTCATTATATTATGTTGTCCGGTGTATAATCGCTCATCAATACCCAATAACTAAGATTAGCTTCACTGCCACTGGGTGATTTTCTAACGAATTGTACTCGGATACAGTTACGTTTATTACATACCTAAGTACTAATTCTTCTTATTTTCTCTAGGGTGTACAACAAGGGAAAATAACTGTTATTTGTTTTAGACAGAAAACCGATTATATCCGGTCGTCGGTGGTATAATCACACGACAATGCATTCCTTATTTTCTTAAAATTGTAGGAATTCCATACGTCGTTCTAAATTTTAAGTTATTTGGTCGACGATTTTACTTACAAAATACGAAGTTGGATATCCAGCTTAACTTATTTAGAATAGCTTTTATCAATTTTTTATTGTTTTTGGTGGTAAGATGGTGATATTATACGCCCTAAGTAGGGTATTTAAATTTGTGAAAAAAGTCTAATCTTTAATATAGGCAACCAACAATATTAAGTTTCCGGGAAGCTTGGTTGTATAAATTATACGTTGGCCACTCAGCACAATTTCCGGTGCTATCAGGTTGGTACTACACGAAAGTTAGCTGATCGCTTCGTGTATGTTCGTGAGGGACACACCGTTCGTTAAGAACGAGCGACAGAGACGGACTTTTCAGTCGTGTCCGAATAAATACTAAAAAAAATTACCGAATTTAACGTTATCGCCCAGTGATAACATATCAACTTATCACAAAATTAGCACTTTTTTTTGGGAGAAATGAAAACACTATTCTAAACTTTTTTTAAGTTTAGAAAAGATTTCCGTTTTCTTTACTTCATACTGTTTAATACGTGATGTAATTTTTAAGTTCGATGGACGCGAAAATGTATTTTTTCCCCGATAATTACGCAATGTCGGTGTTCATGGTGCGGCGTTTTTGATAAATTTGTGTTATCCGGTCCTGTGCGCGCGTTGTCGCTTGTTGCCAACTTCCGACCGGTTCGAGCGCAAGAATGTCAACGATGTGTGTCGACAGTAGTTGTGAATGTTTACTGTTCAAGTTAATTAATTAAGTGTTTTAAATTAACAATAAGTAATAAAATGTTTGTTATAAAACCTTGTGTGCGATAGTGCTTTAAAATCTGGGGTGTGAGGTCACCGTCACATTTCAAAATGGCAGGCCGAAATCGTCCAGTCCAGCATAAGAACTTTTCTACAATATTTTCCAAGCTACAGGGTGCTTTTTCCGATGCCGTGACCCACCAGAAATACGCCACCGACAAAAGGACTTTGGAAAAAACTTCGAAACTAATGGACAAAGTAGTGAAACTGTGCCAACATCAAAAAATGAACTTGAAAAATTCGCCCCCCTTTATTTTAGATATTTTACCAGACACTTATCAAAGATTAAGATTTATTTGTTCGAAATACGAAGACAATATGATTGCGTTGCATAATAACGAACATTTTCACATATTTATTATAAACCTGATGCGGAAGTGTAAGCAAGCAATCAAATTGTTCAAGGAGGGTAAAGAGAAGATGTTCGATGAGAATTCGCATTACAGGAGGAATTTAACGAAGCTTAGTTTAGTGTTTAGTCATATGTTAAGTGAATTAAAGGCCTTGTTTCCAAACGGAGTGTTCGCAGGCGATCAGTTTCGTATCACTAAGTCGGATGCTGCAGACTTCTGGAAAACCAATTTTGGAAACAGGTAATTTCTATTTTTCATGAATTAGTTAGCAATTACGATAATATTTTACTCGAGTGTTGCGTTGAGAAATTGTCGGAATTGTAAATCTCAACACAACACTTGAAAGATAAGTATTTATTGCAATTCAGTTTATGAATTCCTTGTATGTGCAAAACACTACTTAACTGGCGTCAATGAGTCATGAAAATGAACTTTCCTCCGCCTCCTTCTGAAAAAAACATGCGACTTTAATCCTTTGACCTCCTATTGAAAATTAGTCATTTTCTGGCTGCTTTTAAACTTTGTTGTTTAAATTTACAATGGACTAGGAATGCGAATTTTGCAGCACTTGTTATTTAAATTAAGTCAGCAATCTTTAATTCAAATTTTATAGACGTTTTTCTTTCATTTTATAATAATAAAATCAATCAGTTTAATTGCTTTGCACGCCCATGCTGGTATTTGTAATTGCTTTTTCCTGATAACGGAAATTGTTACGTGAATTTTATCACATACTCGAGTCGGAAAATTAAATTCTTATTAAATGAGGGCTCGACACATACAAAATGTTCATAACAGATTTAAGTTAAGAGTACTTAAATCTACATTTTAAGTATCATATGATCGAGAAAGAAGCGGTCAAGCAACTTTTGAAATTTACTTACTTCCTCTAAATATTTTCTAAAACACATATCTGAGATTCTTCCGAGTATTAAATGTGTAAATATTTTTAGAAATGCGGACTTAAATTCCAAACAATTTCATATTATTTGTAAGTTCTGCACAAAAACACGCACAACGAAAATATTTTTATCAAGTGAAACAGAATTCCAACAAAATCATTAAAGATTTTATTGATTTTAATCAATTTTTGCCCACGTTGTATCAGCTTTATAATAAAACATATCGTCCTTATAAATATATGATTAAATCACTTATTACTTATATCAGATTTTTAGAACAATTGCTCCATTATCTATATTTTAAAATTGTTCTATATCTTGCATGAAATAATTATGTCGTGCTCATGTGACAGCATGTAACTTCGAATGACCGTTGCCATACGGAAACCGCCGCTTTTTACACTATGAGAATCAATACACCTGCAACAGCAGGCAAGAACTTTCCCGTGTGTAATAAAAAGAAGGAAGCTTTGTTTGTGAATAAAAGTAGTAATTTTATGTGAATAAAGTACCCACCGACATAAACACTCAACACAGGTGAATAAACCTGAGTCAATACGTTTCCAACAATTGTCGTAACGGGTCTCCGACGAAAGTTCCCATGTTCCATTGTATCGACCTCGGCCGTAATTATTGTTATTTTAAAAATTGGAAGACGGGCGAAATTAAAACGCTAATGGGAGCATTAATGATCCGAAGAGGGATATTTTTGCTTTCTGTACAAATAACCAGCTTTTGTATGAATTTTTTTGTATCGGGGGCTTTGTTGGCGGCGGCGTGGGGGCAGAGAAAGGGCACAAATTGCGAGCTTAAAATATCGCTAATTGTGTAAGAGTGGGTTTCGAATTTTTTCAAAAGGGACCGCCTGATGGCAAGAATTGCGACCTCCTGTTGTACTAACTACGTTTAACCAAGAAACGCGATTTTTTTGTTCGATCTGTGAGAATGCTAGATGGAACTTTGAGTTGTTTTTAACAAGACGGGGCTACAGCGCAGTCGGTAAGGAACACAATAACGAAGTTTTATGAACGCCACTTTAGTCACGAGTTTATTTAATAACAAAAGAGCAACTTCTGAATTTTTAAATTATTCAGTTTTTCGATTTGCAATTTTTCCGTCTTACAATTTTTGGATTTTTACTTTTTCGATCTTACGATTTTTCGGCTTTACAATTTTTCGAAGAAACAGCGTGTTATGATGATGTTCATGCGCCAAAGTTGCTCGATTTTTAATTTTTCAGTTTCCCGACTTTGAATTTTGTTGATTTTAGCTTGCACTTTTAAATTTTTAGTTTTTTTCATTTTTCAACTTCTCGATCTGCCAGTTTTTCGTTTATCGATATTTAATTTTTAAACAAAAAAAAAACAAATTGAAAAAGTTGAAAATTCGAAAAGCTAAAGAAACCTGAAATTGTAAAGTGAAAAATCGAAAAATTTAAGTTTGAAAACTCACATAAAACTGAAAAATTCAATGTCGAGAAATTGAAAAATGAAAAAATTTAAAAAAGAAAAATTAATAACCCCAAAATGTGAAGACACGAAAAATTAAAAGTTGGAAAAGTGAAAAATTTAAGCAACGAAAAAAGTTGAAAATTTGAAGATATGAAGACCTGAAAAATTGAAAAATTAAAAATCAAGAAACTGATCAATGAAAAACTGAAAAATTACAAAAAAAATTGTAAATTCGAGAAACTGTAAAACTGAAAACTCGAAAACATAAAATCGAAGAATTGTTAATCGAGAAACTGAAGAAAAGGCAAACTAAAAATTTGAAGGAACGAAAAATTAAAAATTTGGAAAATTTAAAATTTCAAACTGGAAAATCGAAACAACGAAAAATTTAAAAATTAAAAATCAAAAAATTGGAAATTCGAAAAATTGTAAAATTGAAAACTTGAAATTGAAGAATTACACATCGAAAAACTGAAGAAGTCAAATTAAAAATCGAGAAAGTGAAAAATTACAAAATCGAAAAATTTTAACTTCAAAACTCCAAAAATTATAAAACTGGAAAACTTAACATCGAAAAACTGAAAAATCGGAGGATTGGAGAAAAAGGAAAAGTTGAAGTATCAAAAAATTGGTAACTACAAAAATATGAAGACACGAAAAATTCAAAAATTAAGAAGTTGCAAAAGCGGAAAATTTAAGTAACAAAATCAAGATTAGAAAAATTCTAAATTGAAAACTCGAAAGCTTAAATTCCAAGAATTGCGAATCCGAAAACAACAGAAATCACAACTGAAAAATGGAAACATTAATAATCGAAAAATGAAAAATTCGAAAAATAAAAGTAAAATTCAAAAAATGGGATAACTAAAAACAACAAAAACTTGAGAAACCGAAGAATTGTAAGATCGTAAAATTGAAGAAACGGAAAATTGACAAAATTAAAAACCAAGAAACTGAAAAATTACAAAATCAAAAAATTTTAAATTTGAAAAATTGTAAAATTCAAACCTAAAATCTAAGATTTGGCATTCAGAAAACTGAAGACGACAAACTGAAAAGTCGAAAAATTAAAAATCGAGAAACTGAAAAACGGAAACTGGAATAATTGAAAAACGGAAAACTTTCAAACATCGAAAATGAAAATTTCGAAAAATTACAAAATCTAAAAATGAAAAAGTTGAAAACTCGAAAAATTAAAATCGAAGTTGTACAAAGCGGAAAACTAAAGAAATCACAACTGAAAAGTGGAAAAATTAATAATGAAAAAGTGAATAATTCGGAAAATTATAAAATCGAAAAATGAAAAGTAAAAATCGAAAAATGGGAAAACTAAAACAACGAAAACTTGAAAAACCGAAAAATTGTAAGGTCGTAAAATTGAAGAAATGCAAAATTGAAAAAGTAAAAATCAAGAAACTGAAAAATTACTAAATAAAATTTGGGAATTCGAAAAATTGTAAAACTTAAAACCCGAAAACTTGAATTTACAGAACTACAAATCAAAAACTGAAGGGGACAAGTTAAAAATTGAGAAAATGAAAAGTTACAAAATCGAAAAATTTCAATTTCAAAAATTCAAAGATTGAAGAAAAAAGACCAAAATATCTAAAAATTTATAATTAGAAAATATGAAGACACGAACAATTCAAAAATTAAAAAGTTGCAAAAGCGGAAAATTTAAGCACCGAATTGAAAAGTTACAAAGTCAAGATTAGAAAAATTTTAAAATTGAAAACTCGAAAGCTTAAATTCCAAGAATTGCGAATCCGAAAACAACGGAAATCACAACTGAAAACTGGAAAAATTAATAATCGAAAAACGAAAAATTCGAAAAATAAAAAGTAAAAATCAAAATATGGGAAAACTAAAACAACAAACACTTGAGAAACCGAAGAATTGTATGTAAGATCGTAAAATTGAAAAACGCAAAATTGAGAAAATTAAAAACCAAGAAACTGAAAAATTACAAAATCAAAAAACTTGAAATTCGAAACATTGTAAAATTCGAACCTCTAAAATCTAAGAATTGTCATTCAGAAAACTGAAGACTTGACAAACTGAAAAGTCGAAAAATTAAAAATCGAGAAACTGAAAAACGGAAACTGGAATAATTGAAAAAACGGAAAACTTTCAAACATCGAAAATGAAAATTTCGAAAAATTATAAAATCTAAAAATTGAAAATTGCAAATGGAAAATTGAAACAATGAAAAATTTAAAAATCAAAATTCAAGGAACTGAAAAATTTCAAAATCAAAAGATTGGAAATTCTAAAAGTTGTAAAATTCGAAACTCGAGGACTTGAAATTAAAGAAACAAGTCGAAAAACTGAAGAATTCAAATTAAAAGTCGAGAAAATGAAAAATTACAAAAACGAAAAATTTTAATTTCCAAACTCAAATTATAAAACTGAAAAATTTAGCATCGAAAAACTGAAAAATGCAATGATTGAAGACAAAAGAAAAATTAAAGTATCTAAAAATTGGTAACTTCAAACGAACAATTCAAAAATTAAAATGTAGCAAAACCGAAAAATTTAACCAACGAACTGAAAAGTTAGAAAAATTGAAAACTCGAAAAATTAAAATCGAAGTATTGCGAAGTGGAAAACTAAAGAAATCACAACTGAAAAATGAAAAAATTAAAAATCAAAAAATCGGAAAACCAAAACAACGAAAACTTGAAAAACCGAAAAGATTTTAAATTGGAAATGCAAAAATTGTAAAACTCAAAACTCGAAAACTTGAAATTGAAGAACTACATATGGAAAAACTGAAGAAGACGAGTTAAAAATCGAAAATATCAAAAATTACAAAATTAAATTTTTTTTTACAAAACTCCAAAAATTATAAAACTGAAAAATTTAGCATCGAAAAATCGAATGATTG